TGAGTCAAGATGCATGTTCAGAGCTGAGATACACAGATTTTAAATCAGTAAGGGAATCAGGGTTATGGGGAAAAGGCAAGTAAGGAGTTCAGGATGATCAGATCAGCCACCACCTCCTTGAATGCAAAGTGGACTCAATGAGCTGAATGGCCTACTGTGGCTCATATGTCTAAAGGTCTACTCGGGAATAGCATCTTTCAACTGGAAAACTACAAACATCACTTCCTTATTAAGTAAAGAAGTAAGGTTACCAGTTTAGAAAGGAAACATTTTAACAATAATATGTGGAGACATTACAAGAAACAAAGATAAAGTAATTGCGCAATGGAACATGTAGCAGCTGAATGAGAATAATTATATGGTTTATGAAGTCAAGTCATACCTGGCTAATCTCATTAAATATTCTGGTCATTAGCATGGTACATATGGGTGTCTATGGATGGCGTGCACAAGGACCTCTGAAAGGTCAGAGAGAAAGTTCCATACAAGAGATCACAATAACTAAAGCAAATGGGTATGCAAGTGACCTTGCCAAGCAGTTTGATATTGTTGAAATGTAGGAGACAACGAATACAATAAAGGCTTGGCTTTCTCAATGACCAGATGCAACGCATGTCCCTCCTCAGTGCTCAGAACTGAGTTTTTTTTTTAAACCACACGTATGACTATTGAAGGAGGGAGTCGTGTACCTCAAAATTGAAGATGGCACTAAATTAAGAGGCACACTAAGCTGTGTAGTTGAAATTAGGAGGTTACGATGGGACACAGACCAAAAGTGGGCAAATCTAAGGCAAATATAACTGTGAGGTCATCTACTTAGAATGAGAAAAACAACTCGAGAAATGCTCATGGAGAGACTAGGGCTGTAAAAACAAAAGTAATTTGGGTTGTGAGGCATACCCGTTATCTCAAAACACTTCAGAAACAAAAACATGATTTTATTTCATAGAATCTTGATCAGATCCTATATGGTAGCCTGCATTCAGCTTCGGGTGTCACAACACCTTGGGAATGATATTAGTTTGAAGGAACATAGTGCCAATTCAGCAGTTTGATACCACAGCATAACTGGCGAAATTGTGATTATAGGTTGCATGAATATACAAAGTTTGCCCTTGCCTTCAGAAAATTGTCGGGGTTACCCAAGTGAGGTATAGCAACTGTACAAGGTGTTGAGACCACATTTGGAGTACTGAGAGCAGTTTTGGTCCCCTTATTTAAGGAAAGATATCATTTCATTGGAGACAGTTGAGAGGTTCACTCGGTCCCTGGTACGGAGGGATTGTTTTATAAGCAAAAGGCTAAACAGTTTGAGACTCTACTCACTGGAATTTAGGAAAATGAGAGGTGATCTCACTGAAACATAAGGGGCTTGACAGGGTAAATGCTGAGAGGATGTTTCCCTTCATGGGAGTCTATGAATGAAGCCTCAGAATTTAAGGGTGCCAATTTAAAACTGAAATGAGCAGCAATTTCTTCTCTCAGGGGGTTGTCTCTCTCTTTGGAACAGCATGCCACAGAGAGCTGTGGGGGTACAGTCCTTCTGTATACTGAAATCTGAGATAAATACATAGATTCTTGATCAGTCGGGGAATCAAGGGCTACGGGGAAAGGGCAGGAAAGTGGATGTGAAGAATATCAGATCAGCCACGATCCTACTTGAATGGCAAGCAGGCTCAAGGGGCCAAACTGCCTACTTCGTATGGTCTTATTGCTTTCAAAACAATGAAGAAGTTTATCAGGATATATTTGGATAAACCATATTTCTTTGGTGAGGAAGCTATCATTTTAAATCACAAGTTGACCAAAAGTCAAGCATGCTTTCTCACAAACAATATTGTAGATCTGAAATGCAATTACACACCATGCAAACGTGGGAGTAACTTAAAATTAAACCAAGATAGAGAGATTTTTGGTTTTGAAGGAAATCTAATAAACACAGTCCAGCTATGCTCAAAGTGAATAGTTCTGGGGGAAAATGGTTCATTTAGTTAACCACACACAATTAAATTGCCTTTAAATTCTCGCTGTCATATCTCACAAGAAGAATAGTAATGTGGAGGAGATAACTGGTTGGTGGAAAGCATCTGTAGAAATATACTCGTGGCAAAGGACATGAAACTGATAAAGGAGCAACCTGACTGAGCTCATTTCGCAGTTTCAAGGAGGAAAGCCATTTGGGCTTGCTTTGAAATCAGGTCCAGAGTTTAAAGGCCAGTATGTGACTTACAATGCCACTTCCAAATATTTAAAACCACTTAATTTTTGATTATGCCAGAAAAGATCTTTGAGGTTATGTTGGCGGGGTCTCAATTTACTATTTGTCATCGACACCACCAAAGTGAAATAAAAACAAAAGAGAGGGCAATTATATGACCAAAAAATTTGTAAAGAACATTTTATTACAACAATGGTTGAAATGAAACAATCTAATCTCAGACGCTAGTACAAACATGCATCAGTGCAGGAGACATGAGGTGACATAATGTTGTTCTTTTGATGATTAGGTTCAATAAAGCAGTTACACATTGTTTCTGTCGTAATATACTATTTGGTTGATTCTACCAATAGAACAAATTCAATCCTGACAAATGCAAATTTTCCAAGATTTAATTTTTCATTTAATACTCGTGTGACCTTGCCTGATTCAACCTACTGCATACAGCAGAAGTCCAACTGTGTATGCTACATATAGGCTGTAGTCATTTTAAAATTCTAGACTGGTGACTTGAAAGCTGAAGGTGCAATAGTGATTATTGTACATAACATTACCTTGTTTGTCTCGATACAAAATGGAACCCTGTAAACCAGACTGCCCCATTGGCTCTGCTAAGTTTACTTAACAGTAGTTTGGGTCACCACGTCTGTGTCAACCTTAACTGGCAAAACAGAAGGGCATATTAACTCTCAGCAAGCATGGATTAGAGGGGAGCAAGTGAAGATAAAGAAAAACACCTAGTGTCCTCACTCATGCATGATGAACGGCCACTTGCTCACGGCACCAAGGACTCCTAGTGCTGATTGAAAGCAACTTTGAGACCAAAGAAATGGAAAACCTTTACCCCCAGGTTGTACAGGTGACACTTTGGGCTGTGAAGTTCTAAAAATCCTGCACATTTCTGCTTTTTATTGAAGGCTGTCTACCTTACCTTAAATACACTGAAAGCTATCTTCTTGTAGTGCACATTACTTGGCCAATTGGTCCAAACGGAGAATCTCAATTGAAAAACTAAAAGCTGGAGAAAGTCCAGCTACATAGCTTTAAACCCACAAAATGCAAAAGTTAAAGCAGTTTCTCTCATACTGAAGATCTGTTATAGCCACATGCTAAGGTGCAAACTGATGTAAAAAGCAAGCAGTCAAAGCCAGTCGCACAACTGAAGTTAATTGATATATGGATGTAGATCGCTGGTAATTTGGTGTTACCTAAATAAGGACAGATTCTCTTTGTCATTTGGCTCCATGGTTTTTGTTCCAAGTTTTCTGAATATTGTCTGTGCTTGTCCTTTCCGAGGGGTTGCTGGGTCCTCAAGCACATACTCCAGAATGTGAGGGTTGTCGTCATTCCGTCTGATGTAACCTTTGTTGATGAGATGCATGATGCAAGACAAAACGTCCATATTGCTGCAGTTAAAGTGAAGGAACTTATGCGCTAAACTGGATTCCTGGTTCTGACACCTTTCAATTACCTGCAAATAGTTCAGTGATACAAAGATAAGAAACAGCTCTTCAAAATTACAGTGCAATCTGTAGGTCCATGCACTTACCTAAAGTAGTCTCTCTGTTACAAGGAGACAGCTTTATAAACTAATCTGTACATGCATTAAGAGGCCCAAAAAATCAGACTCTCAATTGTTAAACACGATCTCACTTGACTGTCAAGCTTCACTGATTAGATCCCAGATTAGTACAAAACCACATAGATCAGAAAAGTTCCAATTAAATCTCTGTTCTCTATTAAATGAACTGAGCTCAAACAGTGCAGCAAATTGGAGCCCCAAAGGTTAATTCCATGTCCTTTGTTTACAATTTGGGAAAAATCTGCCAGGAATTCCCACTCTACTTGGTGAGTGTACATTTGCATATACATCACACTCTACTGACACAGACTCGGGAAAATACAAATAGTTAGCTCGGTGACATGAAGAGCAGTTTTTACGCGTCAAATTGTACTTCAGTGCTTCAAATATCAAGGCATTCATGAAACTGTACATGCTAGTTCAAGGAAAGTTCTCAGACTTCTTACACCAGAAAACACGTGGAGCTAGGGAGGTCAACCTGTGCCCAAAACCTTCACCATAGCAACTCGAAAGCTACATAAAGCCAACTAGCACTCAGAATTTTCCTTCATTGGGGCACTTGTTCTATACTGCACAACAGCTGACATTGGGAACACAGAATGGAGCCTCACAAACCCAACCTGTGCACTTTTAAAGAGCATAGATTAGTGACATGCAGACAAAATATTCCATTTAGTACTGTCATATATGTCAGACAAAATGTAGAACTTTGCTCACTGATTGAATACTCAGGGGAAATTAGGGATAGGCATCATATGTTGGCCTTGTCGGTGACACATCCCACATAAGTATATTCGCCAGTGTCCTTTTAAGATAACAGTCCAAGAACGCCTCACATTCAAGATCACAGACTTCAGTTCGAGTAGCATAGAGGTTTTCTGCAACTGCCTCAACTCTGATCAATTAAAGGATGGGCAGTGATGAGTCTGGGAAGGCATTCAGACTGTTGCTTGCTGTCCTCTGACTGGGTCTGAGAACAAGGGTGGACTAAGTCAAACAAGGCATGTTTTAATTCATTTCTTAGAAAATTGGGGGCATTAATAATGGCAGCATTTTTGCCCATTCTAACTTTCCCTGAAGAGAAGATGGTAGCCTTTCCTTTGTCAAGTTTTCATACACTGGAGTGGAAAAAGAAGAAAATGGACAAAGTACTGGGGGTGCTGATGAGTTAGCATTAGCTATTGGGATTACCTTGAGGAGTAAGACATTAATATAAACCACTTTTTATACCTCATGTTATCACCACTGCCCTAGGAGCAATAACAATCTGACAGTAACTCACAGGTTATTTACCTTGAATACAAGATTATCGATATGAAGTTCCTTCTCAGATTTCATGATCTGTACAATCATGCAATAGATAACATTTCTCTTGCGTTCTAATGTGCTGGCAGCATCTTCATCCACATTTAAATAGGTTTGTTTTGGCAGCAATGAACAGTACTGCTTATTTGCTGATCCTTTGCACAATACTTTTTCATTCAACCTCAGGATTCCTACAAGAACACAAAAATGTTAGAAACAGCACAATCGGGGTCAGCTGCTTAGGCACATAATGAAGGAGCATAATGCAAAACACTTGCTAACGCAGAGTGGGAAAGGAACACTAAAGAAATAAGACAGGCCAGTGGCTTAGAACCAGTTTCTTTGTCCTAAAATTTGACCCAGTCAAAGGATGAGTGCACCTTGTCAATGCAGTGTGCAGTTCTGGCCGCTCAAATATAGGAAGGATATTATTAAACTGGAGAAGGCTCAGAAAAGGTTTACCAGGATTATGCCAGGAAAGGATGGTTGAGATATAAAGAGAAGCTGGATAGGCTGGGACTTTATTCACTGGTGCATAGGAGGTTGAGGGGTGACCTTATAGAGGTTTATAACATCACGAGGGGCACAGATAAGGTGAATGACAAGGGTCTTTTCCCTAGGATGAGAAAGTTCAAAACTAGGGGGCATATTTTTAAGGTGCGAAGAGGAAGTTTTAAAAAGGACATGAGGGGCAACTTTTTATTTAAACAGAGAATGGCTCATGTGTTGAATAAACTGCCAGAGAAAGTGGTGGATGCAGGTAGTTGCATTTAAAAAGACATTTGGATAAGTACATGAACAGAAAAGGTTTGGAGGGATAAGGGCCAAATGCAGGCAAGTGAGAATAGTTTACTTTGGGAATGTGGTTGGCGCAGAGTAGATGGGCCGAAGGGTCTGTTTGCATACTGTACGACTCTATGACCCTTAAGCTAGTTAATTACAGCACAGCTCCAGGTAAGCCCTAATCCATTAAGAAAAGAAAAGCTGTCGGTTAGTTTAAACATGCACCTAAACCAACATCCTGTTAAGTCACTCAAACCCTGCAGTCCAAAATGTACTATGCAAGGGATATACAGGCCACATATAATAAGTAGTGCCTTAAAGTATACACGTGTAAAATGGCTGTGTTCTCTGTACAGATATCCCGCTCAATAAACTAAGTAAACAATTAAAAAACACCTCAAGCAACAGTGGGAACCAACAATGAAAAGTGTATGAAAGACTGCAATTATTTGAAGTGAAAAAAGCATCATACTGACTGTGATAGTAGGAACTGCAGATGCTGGAGAATCTGAGATAACAAGGTGTAGAGCTGGATGAACACAGCAGGCCAAGCAGCATCAGA